AGATCCTAAGAAGCTGAGAGGCAAAATGTCATCATATGCATTTTTTGTGCAAATTTGTCTGGAGGAGCATAAGGAGAAGCACCCAGATGCTTCAGTCAACTTCTCAGAGTTTTCTAAGAAGTGCTCAGAGAGGTGGAAGACCTTATCTGCTAAAGAGAAAGGAAAGTTTGAAGATACGGCAAAGGCCCATTATGAGAGAGAAATGAAGACCTGTATCTCTCCTCAAGGGGAGACAAGAAGTTCAAGGATCCCAATGTATCCAAAAGGCCTCCTTTGGCCTTTTTTTCTCTTCTGCTTTGAGTATCACCCCAAAATCAAAAGAGACATCCTGGCCTGTCCATTGTGATGTTGTGAAGAAGCTGGGAGAGATGTGGAATGACACTGCTGCGGATGACAAGCAGCCTTATGAAAACAAGGTTGCGAAGCTGAAGGAAAAATACGGAAAGGATATTGCTGCACGTCCAGCCAAAGGAAAGCCTGATGCAGCAAAAAAGGGAGTTGTCAAGGCTGAAAAAAGCAAGAAAAAGAAGGAAGAGGAGGAAGATGAGGAAGATGAAGATGAAGATGATTCTAGCAGTTTCTTTTTCCTTGCCTATAAAGCATTTAACCCCCTGTACACAACTCACTCCTTTTAAAGAAAAAAATTGAAATGTAAGGCTGTGTAAGATTTGTTATTTTGTTTTTATTATGAGAAAATGCCAAAAAAAAAAAAAGGATTTGTTTTTAAACTGTACAGTGTCTTTTTTTGTATCGTTAACACAGTACTGAATGTGTCTTTAGATAGCCCTTTCTTGGTGGTATTCTCAGTAGCCACTAACCTTGCCTGGTACAGTCTGGGGGTTGTAGATTGGCATGGAAATTTAAAGCAGGTTCTTGTTGGTGCACAGCATAAATTAGTTATATATGGGGATGGTAGTTTTTTCATCTTCAGTTGTCTCTGATGCAGCTTATATGAAATAATTGTGGTTCAGTTCTAACTACCACTTTGTAATTGCAAAAAAAATTGCAGCTGTTTTGTTGACATTCTGAATGCTTCTAAGTAAATACAATTTTTTAATTAAAAAAATTTTTATTATCATTATTTTTTAAAAGACAGAGTTTCACCATGTTGGTCAGGCTGGTCTTGAACTCCAGACCTCAGGTGATCTGCCCGCCTTGGCCTCCAAAGTGCTTGGATTACAGGCGTGAGCCACCATGCCTGGCCTACAATTTTTTTATTTTTATTTTTATGTATTTATTTTTATTATTTATTTATTTATTTATTTGAGACGGAGTTTCGCTCTTGTTACCCAGGCTGGAGTGCAACAGCATGATCTTGGCTCACCGCAAACTCTGCCTCCTGGTTTCAAACAATTCTCCTGCCTCAGCCTCCTGAGTAGCTGGGACTACAGGCGCCCACCACCAGGCCCAGCTAATTTTTTTGTATTTTTAGTAGAGACGGGGTTTCACCATGTTGACCAGGATGGTCTCGATCTCTTGACCTCGTGATCCACTCTCCTCGGCCTCCCAAAGTGCTGGGATTATAGGCGTGAGTCACCGTGCCCGGCCTTATAATTTTTTTATTAAAAGAAAAAATAAAATAAAAATAAAAGAACTAGTAAGGTAATGAGGCCGGTCACAGTGGCTCGTGGCTGTAATCCTAGCACTTGGGGAGGCCAAGGCTGGTGGATCACCTGAGGTCAGGAGTTTGGGACCAGTCTGTTGTGGGGGAGACGCCATAAATGCCAAGGCAGGAGTCAGAAGCCTCAGCCTATTCCTGTATAAATAATGAAGAAGAAAATAACTAGAATATAACCATAGTAGTGATTCATAGGTGATCTTAGTTCTTGTACTGATGCCTCTCAAGTCCTGAAGTGTGAACCTGTGGTGACAGTGAGAAAGGAACCAGCCTAAGGTGAGATGCTTTAAGCCCTCCGGCATGTCCCCGTCCCTGTAAGGGCTGCTGGAGGGCGCCTTGGCTATGCAGCAGCACCGGTGCTGGGAATGCACTTGCTGTTTAGCGAGCTGTGGAAGGAGATGTCAGAGTCGTCTCCTTCCTCGGAGGAGTTAGGAGTCCCCTCCTCCAGGCTCTTGCAGTAGGCCTGATGGCTGTCAGGTTGGCCCGCAGACATCCGGGGACTTAATTGTCTCTATGTGATGCTGCGCTTCAGTGGTCATGTTCCATGTCCACTCTCATGTTCCGCTTCTGCACCTGGTTCCTCTTTTTCTTAGAAGGTGTCAGTAATAGTAACATAAATCTTTTTTTTTTAATTATCATTTTTTAAAAAGTTTTATTTATTTATTTTTTAAATGGTCCAGGTGAAATGTAAATCTTAATGTCTTTGTTCTTTCTTGACCAGTATTGAAAAGTGCCGACACATTATTTTAAGTTTATTTTTTTAAACTACCTATTAATTTTTTTAATAGAGCCGGAGTTTCACCATGTTGGTCAGGCTGGTCTTGAACTCCTGACCTCAGGTGATCCACCCACCTTGGCCTTCCACAGTGCTGGGATTACAGGCTTGAGCCACTATACCCTGCCTATGCACCTTACCTCATCTCCACTACTAGAAAGTCTTGGGCCACTACCTATATGACACGTGATGTACTTGACCCTATCACTGACGACCAATGCCAAGCCCTATCTACCCTGCCCCCAGCTTTGTACTAAATAAAACTCAGAGTGTGCACACACTCGGGGCCACTGCCAGACTCCGAGCTTTGGTTGGCAGTGAACTCCTGGGCCCAAACTCTCTTTTCTCTATCTCTGTGTCTTGGATCTTTTATTTCTAATTTCTCGTCTCCATACTAGCAGAGAGGGGCTCAAAAGATCCTGTAGGACTGGACCCTACACCTGTCTGGCCAACATGGTGAAACCTTGTTGCTATTAAAAATATAAAAATTAACTGGGCGAGGTGGTAGGTGCCTGTAGTCCCAGCTACTTGGGAGGCTGAGGCAAGAGAATCACTTGAACACAGGAGGCAGAGGTTGCAGTGAGCCCAGTTTGCACCACTGCACTCCAGCCTGGGCAATAAAAGGAGACTCTTTTTTTTTTTTTGAGACAGAGTCTTGTTCTGTTGGCCAGGCTGGTGTGCAGTGGTGCAATCTCGACTCACTGTAACCTCTGCCTCCTTGGTTCAAGCGAATCTCCTTTCTCAGCACCCTGAGTAGCTGGGATTACAGGCGCACACCACCACACCCAGCTAATTTTTGTATTTCTTTAGTAGAGACGAGATTTCACCATGTTGACCAGTCTGGTCTGGAACTCCTGACCTCAGGTGATCCACCCGCCTCAGCTTCCCAAAGTTCTGGGATTACAGGTGTGAGCCGCTGTGCCCAGCCCATTTTATGTTTTAAATTAATAATTTTTATTTTATTTATTTTATTTTTTGGAGACAGAGTTAAGCTCTTGTCACCCAGGCTGGAGTGCAGTGGCACATGATCTTGGCTCACTGCAACCTCAGCCTCATGGGTTCAAGTGATTCTCCTGCCTCAGCAACCAGAGTAGCTGGTATTACAGGCACCCGCCACCACGCCCAGCTAATTTTTTGTATATATATTTTTAATTTTAAAGAAAAATAATTTTAAAAAAAGATGGGGTTTCACCATGTTGGTCAGGCTGGTCTTGAACTCCCGACCTCATGTGATCCGCCCGCCTTGGCCTCCAAAGTGCTTGGCTTACAGGGGTGAGCCACTATGCCCAGCCAATTTTTTGTATTTTTTAGTAGATATGGGGTCTCGCTCTGTAACCCACGCTGGAGTGCTGTGGCACGATCTTGGCACATTGTAACCTCCGCCTCCCGGGTTCAAGCGATTTTCCTGCCTCAGCCTCCTAAGTAGCTAGGATTACAGGCGCGCGCCACGACAAAGACTAATTTTTTTGTATTTTTAGTAGAGACAGGGTTTCACCATGTTAGCCAGGATGACCTTGATCACCTAACCTCGTGATCCGCCCGCCTTGGGCTCCCAAAGTGCTGGGATTACATGGGTGAACCAACGTGCCCGGTCCATCATCCAGATTTGTGGGGTGAGGGAAGAGAACTGGAGGGAAACTGCAACGGGGACGAGTTGGATTCTCCTCTCTTTGCCCCTTACTTTGCCCCCCTTTTCTTTACTTTTTTTTTTTGAGACGGAGTTTCGCTCTTGTTGCCCAGACTGGAGTGCAATGGCACGATCTCGGCTGACTGCAACCTCCCCTCCTGGGTTCAAGCGATTCTCCTGCCTCAACCTCCCTAGTAGCTGGGATTACAGGCACTCATCATGCCTAGCTATTTTTTGTTGTTGTTGTTGTATTTTTAGTAGAGATGGGGTTTTATCATGTTGGCCAGGCTGGTCTCGAACTCCTGACCTCGGGTGATCAACCCGCCTCGGCCTCCCAAAGTGCTGGGATTACAGGCGTGAGCCATCGCGCCCAGCGTCTAGGCCCCCCATTCCTTTTTCTGCGCCCTCTCCCCAAGGGCTGTCTCAATTTCCCCCGTATTCTCTCACTAATCATGTTTTCTGCACTAATTCAATCAATACTCTCCTCTCCTATCTGAAACCTGTTTCTTCTGTCTCGAGTTTGTAGACATGTAATGTTCATTGTTGCCCAAACTCCCTTTTCCCCATCAACTTCAACTCCGAGTGGGAAAACCGGCTGACATCGGTTGTATTTTTGAGGTAGGAAAATTTAAGAAGATATTTTGATGTTTTCATTCACCGAAGAAACCTAAATTATGTGTGCCGTATAGGACACGAAAATGAAAAAAGAAAAAAATCCAATAGCAGAGGATGGTTTCGATCCATCGACCTCTGGGTTATGGGCCCAGCACGCTTCCGCTGCGCCACTCTGCTATCTACAAGCCACTCTTTTTCAGGACTGTTATAGAAGACTCTCTATGTAGCTGTTGTCCCTATTTCTTTAGTGCCACCTAATGTCTGACCAAAAATCCGCCATTACTATAGAACCAGTTCTTATTGGCTAGTTCCTGACACAGTAGGCTTTTTTTATTGGTTCATAAGCCCGGGTTGACAGAGTAAGCCAATAGGCATAAACGATTGGGTTAGGCGGGAGCCAATCGCGCTGGGTTTTATTGGGACACGCCGGCAAGACGCCTCTTCAGTTTTCCGCTCCTCAGAGCAAAGGGGCGGTTGGTGCGGCCTCCATTGTTCGTGTTTTAAGCCGCCATGAGGTAAGGGGGTCGAAGTGATCGAAAGGTTGCAGGTATTCGACGGAAAACTTTGGGAACGTGGGCCGAAAGAAGTCGGAGGACCTAAAAGCGCCGTGTGTCCGGGAGCTGGCCAAAAACCGGAGAACTCCCGGTCTGGGAGAGTAGGGGAGTGGGAGGCCGGCAGAGGCGGGGAAACTTGGGCCCGGGATGGGGTTGGGGCCCAGGAGTGGGGAGGCGGGTTCGGCACCTTTGTCTCTGAAGGGTTGCGATGAGGGGGTGTCCTCAAGTCCCCGGAGGAGCTTCCCCCGACCCCCCATCTGGGGTGAGAAGGCTGCAGCGAGCCGCTTTCATCCTCAGTGCAAAGGGCTTGACACAGAGGACATGCCCCATAAATGCGTACGTTAATGAAGAAATGTGCAACTTCTGGCCTCCGAAGTATTAGGATTCGTGTGGCCCAGGATTATGGGTTATTTCGTGTAGGGGCTGAGTGTCTGAGCCCCGTGATCACTTGATGCAGGGTTGTGATTAACTCATCCAGAATGAGGAGGTTATGGGGGTGTATAACTGGGCACCATTTGGAATGGGGAAAAGTGCAAGTGGGCATGGGGTCTCTTGCCTGCCGTTCGGAGGTTCCGAGGGATGAAAGTAGTAGCCACCTTAAAATGATATGGCCGGTGAGTATTCCTTCAATGAGGTCAAAATAAAATCTGCGTTTCTAGGGGTGACAGAGGCCGTGGTCGTGGTGGGCGCTTTGGTTCCAGAGGAGGCCCAGGAGGAGGGTGAGTGCCGGTTTTTAGCATCTCTGGACTTGGTTGTTAGTTTCTGCTTGTCATCTAAATAGGAGTTTTGGGGAAGACTAAAGTCACTTGGTTTTGTGAGAGCCAACTGTGGTCTTTACCTGCACCCCTGCTAAATGAATTTGGCCCCACTATGCTAAGAATGATTCCCCCTCCCCAGAGACTTTGTCACTCATTCTGAGGACTGACACGTTTTCAAAATTGCTGGTGTTATACATCTCACTTGATTCCTACATAGGGAATAATTTAGCTGTTTTTCATGTTTTAGGTTCAGGCCCTTTGTACCACATATCCCATTTGACTTCTATTTGGTGAGTACCTTGGGTTAATCATACACATTTACTGGCCACTAGAAATGGAGCTCCGGATTTCCCAGTTGATGAAGCTAAATGGTGGTTGAAGAGGCTGGGTGCAGTGCCTCACATCTGTAATCCCAGCACTTTGGGAGGCCGAGGCAGGTGGATCAGGAGTTTGAGATCAGCCTGGCGAAACTCCTTCTCTACTAAAATTACAAAAGTTAGCTGAACATGTGCCTGTAATCCAGCTACTTAGGAGGCTGAGGCAGGCGAATTGCTTGAACCTGGGAGGTGGAGGTTGCAACGAGCTGAGATGGCAGGACTGGGAAAAAAAAAAAAAGTGAAGTAGGGAGGGAAAGGGATTTATGAAAAGACTTGGGGTTTTGAGTCAACAGCTCAACAGTGTGTTGCTTTACATACAGAAACAGTGTAAGCAGGGTGGGGAGATTAATTCCTTGGCTACTATTGGCATTAAATATGATTATCTTTTTTCTGAACAAGTAATTATATCTATGGCTTATCTGTTATAGTGATAGCTTAAATTATGGCTATTCCAGCTTGTATCCTTGGTTGAACTTTTTTTTTTTTTAAAGACATCATCTCACTCCATCACCCAGGCTGGTGCAATCTTGGCTCACTGCAACCTCTGCTTCCTGGGTTCAAGAGATCCTCCTGCCTCGGCCTCCCAAGTAGCTGGGATTACTTGGGAGGCCTGCCACCATGCCCAGCTAATTTTTGTATTTCTTTTTTTTTTTTTTTTGAGATGGAGTTTCGCTGTTGTTACCTGGGCTGGAGTGCAATGGCACCATCTCGGCTCACCGCAACCTCCGTCTCCTGGGTTCAAGCAATTCTCCTGCCTCAGCCTCCCGAGTAGCTGGGACTACAGGCGTGCACCATCATGCCCAGCTAATTTTTGTATTTTTAGTAGAGACGGGGTTTCACCTTGTTGACCAGGATGGTCTCAATCTCTTGACCTGGTGATTCACCCGCCTTGGCCTCCCAAAGTGCTGGGATTATAGGCGTGAGCCACTGCGCCCAGCCCCAATTTTTGTATTTCTATTTAATAGAGACTATGGTGTCCAGGCTGGTCTTGAACTCATGACCTCAAGTGATCTGCCCACCTCAGCCTCCTAAAGTACTGGGATTTACAGGCGTGAGCCACCCAGCCCAGCCTTTGAACAATTTTTTGTTTCTTTTTTGAGGTAGGGTTTCACTCTGTCGCCTAGGCTGGAGGGCAGTGGTGCGATCTTGGCTAACTGCAACCTCTGCTTCCTGTGTTCAAGTGATTCTCCCACCTTAGCCTCCCAAGTGGCTGGGATTACAAGTGTGAGCCACCATGCCCAGCTAATTGAACAAATTAAGGAGTGAAAACAAGTATAGAATTTTCTATTCTTAACTTATTCTGTTGTAGTAACAGAGAAAACAATCTTTCCTGTGTATTATTTTTGGTAAATAGAATGTAGTTGTTTATTTCTGATTTAGTGTGAAATGGCCTTCCCCCGGGTCAAGCCAGCACCTGATGAAACTTCCTTCAGCGAGGCCTTGCTCAAGAGGAATCAGGACCTGGCTCCCAATTCTGCTGAACAGGTATGTTCTTTTGGCTGTGTTCCAGAAATGTCTCTAAAACAGTTAAAAGTATTGGTAAAGAGTAACTGTTGGTAAGGGTAAGAATGGTGTTAAGGTAGCCTGAAAGCCACAGAAGGTTTAATTTTCTCTTTATTTCTCATTGTGGGTAGAGATAGCCAGGTGGATATGTACACAGATTATATACACTTATTTTTTTATTTTTTTTTTTTGAGACGGAGTTTCACTCTTGTTACCCAGGCTGGAGTGCAATGGCGTGATATCGGCTCACCGCAACCTCCGCCTCCTGGGTTCAGGCATTTCTCCTGCCTCAGCCTCCTGAGTAGCTGGCACACGCCACCATGCCCAGCTAATTTTTTGTTTCACCATGTTGACCAGATGGTCTCAATCTCTTGACCTCGTGATCCACCTGCCTCGGCTTCCGAAAGTGCTGGGATTACAGGCGTGAGCCACCGTGCCCGGCTACACATTTGTATTTTTGTCGGGGACAAAGAGTTCTGTTCCCATGTAATCAAGGCAGGAATGAAGTGTTTTTAAAGCCCTATGTCAGTATTGAGTCAGTTTGTCTGGAAGGGATTAGGAGAAAATATTCAAACTGAGAAGTTGCTTATAATTTTTCATCTTTGAGTATTTTTGTTTCATGCTGTTTTTCAGGCGTCTATCCTTTCTCTGGTGACAAAAATAAACAATGTGATTGACAATCTGATTGTGGCTCCAGGGACATTTGAAGTGGTGAGTTTTTGATGATTTAGTTTTAGGAAAGGGCACCTTTGGTAGTATGGACATTTCCTTGGCTCTTGACTTTTAATTTTCAGTTGTCTATTATCCAAATCCAAGCCTAAAATGAGAAAGTACAGTGGAATTTCCTTGTAGTACTGTTCTTGGGGATAAGACTTGTATCATTATTATGCTAGCTGTGATATATCAGGCTTCCATGTGATGGTTTTGGGGGTTTCACCTCTGCTATTTCCTAATTTGGGTAATAGATAGCTGTGTTGTAACAGTTCTGAGAGGACCTAGGCACCTTTTTTCCTACTAAATTGTTTCCCCCCCACCCCCCGAAATCTTTTTTCCAACAGCAAATTGAAGAAGTGCGACAGGTGGGATCCTATAAAAAGGGGACGATGACTACAGGACACAATGTGGCTGACCTGGTGGTGATACTCAAGATTCTGCCAACATGTGAGTGTGCCTGTTTCTGGTCATGGGAACAGAATATAGCACTTGGATTTGGGGTTAGGGATCTTTTGTTTTGTTTTGAGACAGATTCTCACTCTGCTGCCTAGGCTGGAGTGCACTGGTGCTATCATGGCTCACTGTAGCCTTGACCTCCTCTGCAGCAAGTGATCTTCCTGCCTCAGCCTCCTGAGTAGCTGGGACTACAGATGGGTGCCACTACACCCACCTAATTTTTGTATTTGCTGTAGCTAATGGAGTTTCACTATGTTGCCTGTGCTGGTCTCAAACTCCTAAGCTCAAGCAGTCTACCCACCTCAGCCTCCCAGAGTGCTGGGATTACAAGGCGTGAGCCACTGTGCCTGCCCCTTAGGATCTTGAAAGCTCAAATTTCTTGTGAGAAAGGATGTTTGTAACACAATTTTTGTTTGAGGCAGATCTCGCTTTCCTGCCCTGGCTGTAGTGCAGTGGCACAATCTTAGTTCACTGCAGCCTCTGCCTCCTCGGTTCTCACGATTCTTCTGCCTCAGCCTCCGTAGTAGCTGGGATTACAGGCATGTGCCAACACACCCAGCTAATTTTTGTACTTTTAGTAGAGATGGTTTTACCACGTTGGCCAGTCTGGTCTTCAACTCCTGACCCCAGGTGATCTGCTTGCCTTGGCCTCCCAAAGTGCTGGGATTACAGGCATAAGCCACTGTACCTGGTCTGGGAAATGTATTTTTAATGAGTGATATGGGACAAATACTAGAGTGTGTATGTCTGAAAGAATGTATAGCAGGTTACTGTAGGGCCATGTTTTTCAACCGGAGGTAATTTTGCCACCCAGGGGATATCTGGCAGTATCTGGAGTCACTTTTGGTTGTTAAAACAGGGGGGTGCTACTGGCATCAAAAAAGGGTAGAAGCCAGGTATGGTGGCTATAATCCCAGCACTTTGGGAGGCTGAGGCAGGAGGATGGCTTGACCCCAGGAGTTCATTTGACCAGCTTAGGTAATACAGACTCTATACCTACAAAAAGAAAATAATTAGCCATGCATGGTGCGTGCCTGTGGTCCCAGCTACTCAGAAGCCTGAGGTGGGGCCAGATGTGATGGCTCATGCCCGTAATCCCAATACTTTGTTTGGGAGGCCAACGCAGGCAAAGCACTTGAGGCCTGGAGTTCAAGACCAGCCTGGCCAGTATGGCAAAACCCTGTCTCTACCAAAAATATAAAAATTAGGCTGGGTGCGGTGGCTCAAGCCTGTAATCCCAGCACTTTGGGAGGCCGAGGTGGGTGGATCACGAGGTCAAGAGATCGAGACTATCTGGTCAACATGGTGAAACCCTGTCTCTACTAAAAATACAAAAAATTAGCTGGGCATGGTGGCACGTGCCTGTAACCCCAGCTGCTCAGGAGGCTGAGGCAAGAGAATTGCCTGAACCCAGGAGGCGGAGGTTGCAGTGAGCCGAGATCACGCCATTGTACTCCAGCTTGGGTAACAAGAGCGAAACTTCGTCTCAAAAAAAAAAAAAATTAGCTGGGCATGGTGGCGGACATCTGTAATCCCAGGTACTGGGGAGGCTGAGGCAGGAGAGTTGCTTGAACCCGGGAGGCGGAGGTTGGAGTTAGTGGGGATTGTGCCAGTGCACTCCAGCCTGGGTGACAGAGTGAGGCCCTGTCTCAAAAACAAACAAAAAATAGCACTCTGAGGTGGGAGGATCACTTGAGTCTGGGAGGCTCGCTTGAACCTAGTAGACTGAGGCTGCAGTGAGCTGTGATTGTGCCACTGTACTGCAGTCTGGGTAACAGAGTGAGACCCTTTCTCAACAAAAGAAAAAGAGGGTAGAGGCCATGGATGCTGTTAAACATCCTACATCCCCATCTCTCCAAAGATTTATCTAGTCCAAAATGTTATTAGTGCCACCGACCTGAAAAACCCTGCTGAAGAAAGAGGATATGAGTATAGGAGGAGTCCTGTTCCCTGAGTCTTCCAATTCTTCTGTCCAGGCCTTGAGTTCCTCTTATAAAAGTTTCTATTATTTACCCTTGCTTCAGCCTTGGATATGAGACAGAAATGAGAGTGCAGAGTAGCCTAGAGATGTATAGAAAGTCTAGGTAAATAAATTATAACAGTATGTCCTTTTCTGTCAAATAGTGGAAGCTGTTGCTGCCCTGGGGAACAAAGTCGTGGAAAGCCTAAGAGCACAGGATCCTTCTGAAGGTTTGCATTTGTTGCTGATTATGTATTTAGTAGCCATAGGAATCAGGTCTTGTAATGATAAGTACACTTTCAACAAATCAGGTCAGACCAGATGAAAGAGTAAGTGCAGAGTTTTAAGTTGTGGGAGTTTTTGGCAGGGGCCTCAGGTGTTCAAAATCTGTTTGATCTCCTTTATTTCTAAAGCTCTGTATTCTAAATTCTCATTCTGGACTTTTTGCTGTTTTAAGAAATTGCTGTTCCCTCCCTACCCTGGATTTAACTTTGGTCATCTAATGGAAATGTGAGTTATATTTTTTGTTTATTCTGTTCTTTCAGTTTTAACTATGCTGACCAATGAAACTGGCTTTGAAATCAGTTCTTCTGATGCTACAGTGAAGATTCTCATTACAACAGTGCCACCCAATCTTCGAAAACTGGACCCAGAACTCCATTGTTAGTTCTTTTTTTTCTGTTGCTGGAAAATTTAGGGGATATTAAAAACATGGTATGGTTGCTGTTTAGTTTACTTAGCTTGTTGCTATTCCACATGCAGCTCTCTGGGAATTGAAGAACTCAAGTTTACTCTAAACTTTGCTCTCTCCCTCTGTAATTTGGAAATAGTTTTTTTTTTTTTTTTTTCAAGACCAACATGGACAACATAGTAAAGTCCCATCTCTACCAAAAAAAAAAAAAAGTTTGTTTTTTGTTTTGTTTTTTTTTTTTTTTTTTTTTTTTTCACTGTGTTGCTATGGGCAGGTTACTTGACCTCTCTGTGCCTCTCTGTGTCCTCACCCGTAAGAATGGGCATAACTGTCCACCTCCTTTCTTTTTTTTTTTTTTTTTTTTTTTTTTTTTTTTAGGGAAAAAGAGAAAAAGAAGGGGAAAAAAAGAAAAAGAGGGAAAAAGGAATATTACTTCATTCCTAAAATGGGTTTCAATAATGGCCGATCAATATTTTGAGTGTTTAAAGTGGTTAATGCATATTTTATGTGTTTAAAATGGAGACCTCTATTGTGTTTATTTGTTCTGGACTGGTTGTTCCTTTCTGTGTATAATGCTTCTTTTAGAAGTTCTTGTAAAGCAGGCCTGGTGGTAATGAAATCTCTGAGTACTTGCTTGTTCCTAAAAGATTTTATTTTTCCTTCAGATGTAAAGCTTAAATTGGCAGGATATGAAATTCTGGGCTGAAAGTTTTGTTCTTTAAGTATATTGAATATTGGCCCCCACTCTCTTCTAGCTTGTAGGGTTTCCGTTGAGAGATCTGCTGTAAGCCTAATAGGCTTACCTTTATGGGTAACTTGATCTTTCTCTCTGGCTGCCCTTAATATTTTCTCCTTCGTTTCGATCTTGGTGAATCTAACGATTATGTGCCTTGGGGTTGGTCTTCTTGAGGAATATCTTTGTGGTGTTCTCTGTATTGCCTGGTGTTGAATAGTGTCCTGCTTTGCTAAATTAGGAAAATTTTCCTGGATAATGTCCTGGAGAGTATTTTCCAGCTTGACTTCATTCTCTCCGTCACATTCAGGTACACCAATCAAGCGTATATTAGGTCTTTTCACATAGTCCCATATTGCTTGGAGACTTTGCTCATTCCTTTTTATCCTTTTTTCTCTATTCTTGTCTTGTCGTTTTGTTTCATTAAGTTGGTCTTCGACCTCTAATACCCTTTCTTCTGCTTGATGGAAATAGTTTTTTATCCAAATTTGCTAGTGGAATATTCAGATGGGGTGATCAAGAAAATAGTTGGAGGATTTAAAAAGGACTGAGAAGCCAGGCACAGTGGCTCACGCCTGTAATCCCAGCACTTTGGGAGGCCCAGGCGGATGGAACCACGAGGTCAAGAGATCGAGACCATCCTGGTCAACATGGTGAAACCCCGTCTCTACTAAAAATACAAAAAATTAGCTGGGCATGGTGGCGCGTGCCTGTAATCACACCCGCCTGGGCCTCCCAAAGTGCTGGGATTACAGGCATGAGCCACTGTGCCTGGCTTCTCAGTCCTTTTTACATCCTCCAACTATTTTACTCAGAAGGCTGAGGCAGGAGAATTGCCTGAACCCAGGAGGCGGAGGTTGCGGTGAGCTGAGAGATGGTTCCATTGCACTCCAGCCTGGGTAACGAGCGAAACTCCATCTCAAAAAAAAAAAAAAAAAAAAAAAAAGGACTGAGAAAATATTTATGGAGGAGGAGGATAGGCTTTTGGAGAAAATCATGTATCTTGCATGGTTCTAGTGATTTTTAGGCATGTGATTTGCTGATATGAGGAACATGGGATGACTTAAAGAACTGAAAAGTTGGCTGTGTGCAGTGGTTTACGCTTGTAATCCCAGTGCTCTGGGAGGCTGAGCTGGGTGGATCACCTGAGGTCAGGAGTTCGAGAGCAGCCAGTCCAACATGGTGAAATCCCGTCTCTACTAAAATAAAAAAAAATTTAGCTGGCATGATGGTGGGTGCCTGTAATTCCAGCTACTCAGGAAGCTGAGGCAGGAGAATCGTTTGAACCCAGAAGGCGGAGGTTGCAGTGAGCGGAGATTGCGACACTGTACTCCAGCCTGGATGACGAGACTACATCCCAAAAAAATGACAAGAATTGCAGAGTTATCCTGTCCTCCTTCCAAGTTTTTAGACTGTAGCAGTAGTACTGAGTAGCTTATTTAATGAAAATGTTTCATCCTGGCCTATCATGCTTGTCTTATAGTGGATATCAAGGTATTGCAGAGTGCCTTAGCAGCCATCCGACATGCCCGCTGGTTTGAGGAAAATGCTTCTCAGTCCACGTGAGTCTCTCCCTGACCATTTGGATTAAGATAACCTTTCTAACAGCAGTGAATAGCAGGATACCCCAGACTGTTTTGTTTGGATTTTGATTTTTACCTTAAGTAAGCAAATTAAGATTGAGAGAAAGCAGAGAATGTATAGTTCTGGAAACAGTGTAGTCAGCTTCAACTCTACATTAGGCATGGAAATACATGATCGTATTGCTTTTAACCTTTGGGTCACTCTTAACTTTCAGAGTTAAAGTTCTCATCAGACTACTGAAAGACTTGAGGATTCGTTTTCCTGGCTTTGAGCCCCTAACACCCTGGATCCTTGACCTACTAGTAAGTAAAGATGGGCAACTGGAGTTCCTTGATAATCTATATTTACTAGCAGTAGAAGTAACTCTGGAATTTACCAGAATCTGAAATTTGGTAAAGCTTAAAATAGATTTTTTTTTTTTTTAATTTTAATTTTTTGAGGTGGAGTTTCGCTCATTACCCAGGCTGGAGTACAATGGTGCAATCTCGGCTCACTGCAACCTCCGCCTCCTGGGTTCAGGCAATTCTCCTGCCTCAGCCTTCTGAGTAGCTGGGATTACAGGCACGTGCCACCATGCCCAGCTAATTTTTTTTTTTTTTTTTTTTTGTATTTTTAGTAGAGATGGGGTTTCACCACGTTGACCAGGATGGTTTCGATATCTTGACCTTGTGATCCATCCGCCTCGGCCTCCCAAAGTGCTGGGATTACAGGTGTGAATCACCGCGCCCGGCTAAAATAAATTTTATTGGTAGACAAGTAATCCAATAAAAATTCAAAATTATATGACTCAGAGAAACTTGTTTTTTAAAAAGAAAGAAAAAGTTCAAAGTTTATTTTTTTGTTATATTCAATTAAATGAGTAGTTACTGAGTTAGTGTTCTTTTTCTTCTCATGACTGCTACCATTTCACCATGGTAGTAGAGAGAAATGAGTGAGCAGCCATTTCAGAATTGCTTCTGAACATGAAAATTTTAGCTAGACTTAGGCATTAATGACCAGTTTTCCTTGTGACAATTTAAGGTTTTAGTTTGATGCCTGTAATCCCACCACTTTGGGAGGCTGACGCCAGAGAATCACTTGAAACAAGGAGTTTGAGACCAGCCTGGGCAAAATAGCGAGACTCCGTCTCTATAAGAAAAAAAAAAGATAAGCCAGTTGTAGTGGCTTGCACTCAGCAGGCTGAGGTGGGAGGATTGCTTGAGCCCAGGAGTTTGAGGTTACAGTGAGCTATGATTGTGCCACTGCACTCCAGCCTGGGGGACAAAGTGAGGCCCTATCTTTAAAAAATAAAGTTCTAGTTGCCAGAATTGCCATTTTGGTGGCACACCTACTGGATTTATTATTTTCCAGGGTCATTATGCTGTGATGAACAACCCCACCAGACAGCCTTTGGCCCTAAACGTTGCATACAGGTACAGCATGCTGCTGTGGGTTTAGGGTTGGTTGTAAGATGTTTTGTGTATTCCTTTAATACCTCATACCTCCTTGTGTTCTAGGCGCTGCTTGCAGATTCTGGCTGCGGGACTGTTCCTGCCAGGTTCAGTGGGTATCACTGACCCCTGTGAGAGTGGCAACTTCAGAGTACACACAGTCATGACCCTAGAACAGCAGGTATTGGGACAGATGAACTGGGTTGTTTTGCCTCACTCTTTAATACTCCTGGTCAGAGGCAAAGTGGAATATGATCTTTAGGGGTCAGGAGTTTGGGAATTCCGAAAGACGATGGGATTTTAAAAATTGTCTTAATCTTTATTTCACAAGGATATTAGTCAAATAAGGCCCTTGGATTTTCCTTGCTAACTTACTCTCACTTTTGCTCTACTTTAGGACATGGTCTGCTATACAGCTCAGACTCTCGTCCGAATCCTCTCACATGGTGGCTTTAGGAAGATCCTTGGCCAGGAGGGTGATGCCAGCTGTGAGTGACCATTGTGGGTCAGGGATTTTGTATTATAATCTGCTCTACAAAGAAGCTGTACACTACTTAAATGCCTTAGTATTTCCACAGTGTAAATAATGACTTTTATGCTGGGCTACTTGTCTAACTCACCTTTTTCTCTTTTCTAGATCTTGCTTCTGAAATATCTACCTGGGATGGAGTGATAGTAACACCTTCCGAAAAGGCTTATGAGAAGCCACCAGAGAAGAAGGAAGGAGAGGAAGAAGAGGAGAATACAGAAGAACCACCTCAAGGAGAGGAAGAAGAAAGCATGGAAACTCAGGAGTGACCTTCCCTTCCCTTGACTGGAGCCTAAGCTCGATGCTACTGGGCTTTACATGGTGGTAGACATTTCCGAGGGATAGGGAAGATAATAGGAAGGCAAGTAAACTCCAGAGAAGTGTTACTCCACTGGGTTTTGATATTGGCCTAGCAGCCAGTTTCCCATTTGTGACCTATGCCATCCATCTATAATAAATGAGGATACCAACATTTCTTCCTAATACTCTAGGATCCCCAAGTCCTGAAAACCCCTCTCTCAACTAATATCTTGCTGTTGAAATGTTGTGAACTGTTAAGTGTCTGGAAATTTTTTTTCTAAGAAAAACGATTAAAGTACTTCCTAGTAGGGCTCTTGGTCTTTTTGGTTGGTTGGTTGTTTTCTTTTCCTCCTTTGCATGTGGCAACCTTTTTTGCTTCCTTTTGCTTTGTATATTCTTGTTGAGTCTTTTAATTATATTCAGCTCACAATTTGAAGCTATCTTTGAATTAAAGTACAAACTCCTGGAACCTTTCCATATACCAGAGTAAAGTAGAATACTGTTTTAAGTATTTATTGAATAAAATGATTCTATCAATACTGCTACTGTATTCAAGCCAGTGCAATAGAAAAGTGGGTAGACAGTCGTTCACTTTGACTTTGCCTGTCCTCTCCAAATCCCACTGTAAACAGGAAAATGAGAAGTCACAGGTAGAGGACATGCTGTCCAGGCCCATGTAACCAGGCATGTAACATAAAGGAAGCCCCTCTGGTTAACTAGGCCTGAAGAAGGTAAGCCTCAAGTGCAGCTTTATTTAAAAAAAAAAAAAAAAAAAAAAAAAAAAGCCTTAGCTCATTTGTGGAAGGAAGCAGCCATAATTAATGTAAGTCCTTAGGGAACCTCATTCTGGCTGTGTATAGGGCCCCTACATAAATGGGTAAGATTAAGTGCTTCAAACAAACTAGGGCTGCCTTTTTAATGTCCCAGGGTCTACAGGGACTGTGCTAGGATCTTTGCATGTTTGTTGAAACAAGGTAGCTGGAGAACAGTACTTGTACTGAGGCCACAGGCTCATCTGTTATTTGCTTGGGGAGCCAGGGGGGTAAATTCCTGAATCCAGCATTGCTCTCCTGCGGGCTGTTTCCTTGGCAACACTGTGGTTTAGCCGCCTCAGCCGTTCCTACAAGACAAGGAGGGTTTGGAATCTAATAACTGCTGTGAAAGGCTTTAGCGTGTAAGTGAACTAGGTGCTGAAAAATACCTTGGGCTTGGTCTACCTCAAAGTCTTCCTAAAGTATAAGAATGTAGGTCTGGTACAGGGGTTCACACCTGTAATGCCAGCACTTTGGGAGGCCAAAGTGGGTGATTACCTGAGGTGAGGATTTCGAGACCAGCCTGACCAACATGGTGAAACCCCATCTCTACTAAAAATACAAAATAATTAGCTGAGTGTGGTGGCGGGTGCTTGTAATCTGAGTTAAGAGAATCGCTTGAACCTGGGAGGTGGAGGGTGTGGTGAGCGGAGATCACACCACTGCACTCCAGCGTGGGTAACAGCAAGACTCTGTCTCAAAAAAAAATAATGTAGGCCAGACATGATGTTCCCCTCTATAATCCCAGCACTTTAGGAGGAAGTGGAGGGAAGATCACTTGGGCCCAGGAGTTCAAGACCTGCCTGGACATCATAGATCTTTTTTTTTGAGACGGAGTTTTAAAAATTAAAAGAAGTCCGGGTGCGGTGGCTCAAGCCTGTAATCCCAGCACTTTGGGAGGCTGAGGCGGGTGGATCATGAGGTCAAGAGATCGAGACCATCCTGGTCAACATGGTGAAACCCCGTCTCTACTAAAAATACAAAAAATTAGCTGGGCATGGCGGTGCATGCCTGTAATCCCAGCTACTCAGGAGGCTGAGGCAGGAGAATTGCCGGAACCCAGGAGGCGGAGGTTGCCGTGAGCCGAGAGCGTGCCATTGCACTCCAGCCTGGGTAACGAGCGAAACTCGAAACTCCGTCTCAAAAAAAATAATTCAAAAAAAAAAAGAGACGGAGTTTTGCTGCCTAGGCTGCTGGAGTGCAATGGTGTGATCATGGCTCACCACAACCTCTGCATCCCAGGTTCAAGTGATTCTCCTGCCTCAGCCTTCCAAGTAGCTGGGATTACAAGCATGCACCACCATGCCCAGTTAATTTTGTATTTTTAGTAGAGATGGGGTTTCTCCACATTGGTCAGGTTGGTTTTGAACTCCCGACCTCAGTTGATCCTCCTGCCTTGGCCTCCCAAAGTGCTGGGATTACAGGTGTGAGCCACCATGCCCAGTTGATCCTATTTATTTAAAACAAACAACACAAAAAAGGCTGGGCATGGTGGCTCATTCCTGTAATCCAAGCACTTTGAGGGCCAAGGTGGGTGGATCACCTGAGGTCCAGAGTTCAAGGCCAGCCTGATCAATATGGTGAAACCTTGTCTTTAAATAATAATAATTTTAAAAAAAGGAGAAGCCAGGCGCGGTGGCTCAAGCCTGTAATCCCAGCACTCTGGGAGGCCGAGGTGGGTGGATCATGAGGTCAAGAAATCGAGACCATCCTGGGTCAACATGGTGAAACCCTGTCTCTACTAAAAATACAAAAACTTAGCTGGGCATGGTGGCGCGTGCCTGTAATCCCAGCTACTCAGGATGCTGAGGAGAATTGCCTGAACCCAGGAGGTGGAGGTTGCGGTGAGCTGAGATCGTGCCATTGCACTCCAGCCTGGGTAACGAGCGAAACTCCGTCTCAAAAAAAAAAAAGGCCAGGCAGGCCAGCAGGCCAGGTGCAGTAGCTTAACGCCTGTAATCTCAGCACTTTGGGAGGCCCAGGTGGGTGGATCACTTGGGTGCAGGAGTTTGAGACCTGCCTGGGTAACATGGTGAAACCCTGTCCCTAGAAAAATAATTAGCTGGGCATGGAGGTATATGCTTGTAGTCCCAGCTTCTCGAAAGGCTGAGGCGGGAGGATTGCTTGAGCCTGGTAGGTAGAAGCTGCAGCAAGCCGTGATCATGCCACTGAAGTTGATCCTGGGTGACAGATCATTTCTCATAAAAATAAATAGCCAGGCCGGGCACGGTGGCTCACGCCTGTAATTCCAGCACTTTGGGAGGCCAAGGCGGGTGGATCACAAGGTCAAGAGATCGAGACCATCCTGGTTAACATGGTGCACCCCGTCTCTACTAAAAATACAAAAATTAGCTGGGCATGGTGGCACGTGCCTGTAGTCCCAGCTACTCGGGAGGCTGAGGCAGGAGAATTGCTTGAACCCAGGAGGTGGAGGTTGCGGTGAGTCGAGATTGCGCCATTGGACTCCAACCTGGGTAACAAGAGCAAAACTCCATCTCAAAATAAATAAATAAATAGCTAGGTGTGGTGGCTCACTCCTGCAGTCCCAGCACTTCTGGTGGCTGAGGTGGAAAACCCACTTGAGCCCAGGAGTTCCAGACCAGCCTGGGCAACATGGCGAAACCCTATTTCTAGAAAAACAATACAAAAATTAGCTGGGCGTTGTGGTGCACCCTTGTAGTCCCAGCTACTCGGGAGGCCGAGGTAGAAGAAAAGCTTGAGTCCAGGAGGTGGAAGTTGCAGTGAGCTGAGATTAAGCCACTGCATTCCAGGTTGGGTGACAGAGGGAGATTGTCACACACACACAAAACAATGTAAATGGCAGCAACTGAATACTGAGAATGAGACGAATTCTCCCACATATTTTCCAAGTACTGAGAAAAGTGAATTTCCCTTTCCCCAGAGAATTTTAAAATTACAGTGCCTTTCATTGTGTTCAGGACTTACAAAGAAGGGCAAAGAATCACTGTTGGTATGATATTCTTTTACCTGAGCATTCTGTAGAATGTTGTTGACCAAGACAACGCGTCGCCGGGCATTAAGTAGCTTCTTAACATAGGGGTCAAGATCCAGGGCCACCTTCTGATCCTCATTGATGCGGCACAGTTCTGGGGATGGAATTAAGTTGCAAGTAACATCTAATGGCTCATCTCGGTTCTGAGGTAAAGCAGGCTGGTAATGGGATGGAAAACACTTGCACCCACACAGGCCACAGACATCAGAGATTTAAGACAACCCCTAAAAGGAGTCCTTTGGCAGCCCTGATGTCCTGGAAGCAAGTGACACAAACCCAGCCCAGAGGTTAGCAAAAACCTTAGGTCCTGAAAGTGAGCTGAAGGATGCCGAGTACACGGGGATGCTCATCACTCACCTGTGGCTAGGTTGTCAATTTGCTCCCGGAGCTCCACCTGGCTCTCTCTGCAAAGAGGTACAAGGCCTACACGGTCAGGCAGTGACCGGAACTCAGAAAACTAACTCCCCTACATATTTACAAGGTACTGCGAGAAGCCAGCCTCCGCTGAACTCTCCACCTGCGGCCTCCCGCCTGTCCTCCCCGCTTCCAGTGTTTCCTAAATTTATGCCCACTCCCAGCTAGAACCCTTTCTGGGCCCCGCCCCTACAAAGCCAGAGACAGGCCCGCCCCCAACTTCCCTCTCCGCCACCTGACGGCGTGCACGTGAGAGTCGAGCTGCTGCACAGCGGGTCGCAGGAACTCCAGCAGCCCTTCGGCGAAGAGGTCGCGGCCTGTGGGCCCCGCCACAGGGGTCCCTGCCCCCGACACAGCAGCGGAACCAGCCCCCGCCATCACGAACAGTCCGGACACCCGGAACCTGCCGCGAGGGCCGCCGGGAACCGGAGCCGTGCCGCACTGTGCCGCAAGGGGGCGCCCGGGAAATGCCTTCTCCACCCGGACGCTGGGGTTTCTGGGAAATGGAGTCTGGAGAGAGCCGGGCTGGAAGGAGGGCCAGGTCCTAGGAGTAGAGGCCTTGTGGGTGGTCTTGAAAATCTCCAAAGGTTAGAGTGTAGTAAGGAACCAGTTTTTGTTGTGGATACTTTTTGTTTTCTCCAAAGGCAAAATAAACGCGAATAACTTCCGTTGTCCATAGCCTTCCCATGTTAACTTTATGAGATAGCCAGGTTGTGGCGGTGGGCGCCTGTAATCCCAGCTGTTTAGGAGGCTGCGGCAGGAGATTCTCTTGAACCCGGAAGGCGGAGGTTGCAGTGAGCCGAGATCACGCCATTGCACTACAGCCTGGGCAACAGAGTGAGACTCTGTCTCAAAAACAAACAAACAAAAAAAACTTTATGAGAAAACCAGATTATATTCATGGTATCATTTTCTATTTCTAAAGAGTTTTTCGTGGTTTTTAAGATAGGATATCTTTCTTAACATCTCTTTCATAAATATATAAATAAATAAAACAAAAAAAGCCGGGCGCGGTGGCTTACGCCTGTAATCCTAGCACTTTGGGAGGCTGAGGCGGGCGGATCACCTGAGGTCGGCAGTTCAAGACCAGCCTGACCAACATGGAGAAACCCCATCTTAAAAAAAAAAAAAAAAAAAAATTCTTTCTTAAAAAATAAGAGAGAGAACCTTTTGTCATTCAAAAAATAAAAATAAATAAGAGAGAGAAGAAAAAGACAGGGTCTCGCTCTGTGTCCTAGGGTGGAGCGCAGTGCCACGATCTTGGCTCACTGTAGCCTTCACCTCCTGGGATCAAGAGGTCCTCCTGCTTCAGCCACCCAAGTAGCAGGGACCACAGCTGTTAGCCACCATGCCTGAATAATTTTTTATTTTCTGTATAGAAGGGGTCTCACTATGTTTGTTGTTCAGACTGGTCTCGAACTCCTGGGCTCAGGTGATCCTCCCACCTTAGCCTCCTAAAGTGCTGGGATTACAGACGTGAGCTACAATTTCTAAAGATTGTATGTTTAATGGCATTACATATGTACAAAACTGCATGTATCTGAATTTCATTCCTTTTTAAGGATGAATAATATAAACACGCTGGCCAGGCGTGATGGCTCACTCCAGCATGGGCAACAAAAGGGAAACTCCGTCTCAAAAAAAAAAAAAAATACAGCCAGGCACGGTGGCTCACGCCTATAATCCCGGCACTTTGGGAGGCCGAGGCGGGCAGATCACAAGGTCAAGAGACCGAGACCATCCCGGTCAACATGGTGAAACCCCATCTCTATTAAAAAAAAAAAACCAAAAAAACTTATACTAAAAATATTATTTGTTGTTTCCAGGTGAGGTGTCTCATGCCTGTAATCACAGCACTTTTGGAGGCCAAGGCGGGAGGATTGCTTAAAGCCAGGAGTTCAAGACCGGCCTGCGCAACATAGGGAGACTCCCATCTCTACAAAAAATTTAATTGAAAACAAAATAACTGGGTGTGGTAGCACACACCTGTAATTCCAGCTACTTGAGAGGCTGAGGTGGGAGGATCGCTTGAGCCTGGGAGGTAGAGGTTGAAGTGAGCTGTGATCACTGCACTCCAGGCTGGGTGAGAGAGCAAGACTTTGTCATTGATTGTGTTGACTGCATTTGTCTCCCTGCCTCTTCCTCTCTGGTGATTAGAGGTAAAGCTCTTGTGAGAGGCTAGGAACTTATTTTGGGGGTAAGCGGCAAGGCAGCTGCACCCTGCTTCACAGTGGGGCCTTGGGAAGAGGAGGCCCGGGGAGAGAATGGTGACAGTGTTGAACAGGAAAGGAAAAGTGTTGAAATCTCTGAGGCTTGTACTGGAAAGAGAGAACAGGTGTTGACCTGGGCTGAGAAAGGGCCTTGGAGGTTGATGGTCCATTGTTTGTGCAAGAAGCCCTTGGGTTACCCCAACTGTCCTTTCAGGTACATCTTCAGTTCTATAGACTAAACCCTCCCTATTGCCAGATTTAGGAAACAGAACAAATAAAACACTTGGGATACCAGGTGAATTTTAATTTCAGATAAACAATAGTTTTTCTGTTTGTTTTTGTTTTTTGTGACAGAGTCTTGCTTTCTTGCCTGGGCTGAAGTGCAGGGATATGATCTCGGCTCACTGCAACCTCCATCTCCCAGGTTCAAGTGATTTTCTAGCCTCAGCCTCCCGAGTAGCTGGGATTACAGGCGCCCACCACCATGCCTCGCTAATTTTTTTTCATGTCTATTTATTTTATTTATTTATTTATTTTGAGACGGAGTTTCACTCTTGTTACCCAGGCTGGAGTGCAATGGCGTGATCTCCGCTCATTCCAACCTCCTCCTCCCGGGTTCAGGCAATTCTCCTGCCTCAGCCTCCTGAGTAGCTGGGACCACAGGTGTGTGCCATCACGCCAGCTAATTTTTTAGTAGAGACGGGGTTTAACTATGTTGGCCAGGATGATCTCGATCTCCTGACTGCATGACCTACCTGCCTCGGCCTCTCAAAGTGCTGGGATTACAGGCATGAGCCACCGCACCTGGCTAATTTTTGTTCTTTTTTTTTTTGAGACTGAGTTTCTCTGTTGTTACCCAGACTGGAGTGCAATGGCACTATCTCGGCTCACTGCAACCTCTGCCTTCTGGGTTCAAGCAATTCTCCTACCTCAGCCTCCCGAGTAGCTGGGACTACAGGCACATACCACCATGCCCAGCTAATTTTTGTATTTTTAGTAGAGACGGGGTTTCACCTTGTTGACCAGGATGGTCTTGATCTCTTGACCTTGTGATCCACCCGCCTCGGCCTCCCAAAGCGCTGGGATTATAGGCGTGAACCACCACGCCCGGCAATTTTTGTTCTTTTTATTTTTTGAGACAGTCTTGCTCCGTCTCCCAGGCTGGAGTGCAATGTGCAGTCTTGGCTCACTGCAACCTCCGCCTCCTGAGTTCAAGCAATTCTCCTGCCTCAGCCTCCCGAGTAGCTGTTACTACAGGCGCGCGCCACCATGCCCAGCTAATTTTTGTATTTTTAGTAGAGACGGGGTTTCACCATGTTGACCAGGATAGTCTCCTTGTGATCCACCCGCCTTGGCCTCCCAAAGTGTTGGGATTATAGGTATGAGCCACCGCGCCCGGCCCAATAGATATATATAATATATACTATAATTATATAAATAATATATATATACTATAAATATATATATATTTTTTTAATTTTTTAATTTTTTTTAGTAGAGATGGGGTTTCACCATGTTGGGTAGCCGGGTCTGGAACTCCTGACCCCAGGTGATCTACCTCCCTTGGCCTCCCAAAGTGCTGGGATTACAGGATTACAAGCGTGAGCCACTGCACCAGCCTAATTTTTGTATTTTTAATAGAGATGGGGTTTTACCATGTTGGCCAGGCTGGTGTTGAACTCCTGACCTCAGGTGATCCGCCCACCTCGGCCTTCCAAAGTGGATTCTAGGCGTGAGCCACCACGACCGGCAACAACAAATAATTTTTTTAGTATAAGTTTTTTTCCTTTTTTCTTGGGATGGAGTTTCGCTCTTCTTGCCCAAGCTGAAGTGCAATGGCACAATCTCCGCTCACCACAACCTCTATCTCCCAGGTTCAAGCGATTCTCCCGTAATCCAAGTAGCCGGGATTACAGGCATGTGCCATTACGCCCAGCTAATTTTGTATTTTCGTAGAGACAGGGTTTCTCCATGTTGGTCAGTTGGTCTCGAATTCCCGCCTCAGGCGATCTGCCTGCCTTGGCCTCCCAAAGTGCTGGGATTACAGGAGTGAGCCACCATGCCTGGCCTAGTATAAGTATTTTATCTAGTAATCTGGCATCAAAGGCTGGTTCTCTGAGGAAAATCATGTGTTTTGTTTTTATGCTTCCCTTTTTGTTAACGTTGTATCTTTCATGGGCTCTATTGCAAAGGCCTCCTGACTGATCTTCTTGCCTGTAGTCTCTATATTCAGGTCAGTCTGCATTCTAAATTACCAGTCAGATTTCATAATACCCCTGCTTAGAGAAAATTAGTGCTGAAAGGAATTTTAGACTCTCTCCTTGGTTCCTGGGACACTTGTGAGGGAAACTGGTCAAGGGTCTTGCAGAAACCCTGAAGTTCGATAATAGGTTGAATTCTCTAAACGTGTATCAAACTCTAGACACAAGATATTCACCACCAAACCCCCTTCCTCCCTGCCTTCACCTGTATCATATAGCAGTGGCACTCCTCCAGGCCTTGGCTTTTCCAGAAACTGAAGATGTAGTTCTAAGAACACCCCTTCCCATCCAACTGCTGCACATACAACCACCATGTTGTTTGTATGTCAGGGTCCAATCAAGAGAGACAAATGATACAATATCAACAGGGAGAGTTTACTATAAAGAATTATCAGGGCCGGGCGCGGTGGCTCAAGCCTGTAATCCCAGCACTTTGGGAGGCTGAGGTGGGTGGATCACGAGGTCAAGAGATTGAGACCATCCTGGTCAACATGGTGAAACCCCGTCTCTACTAAAAATACAAAAAATTAGCTGGGCATGGTGGCTCGTGCCTGTAATCCCAGCTACTCAGGAGGCCGAGGCAGCAGAATTGCCTGAACCCAGGAGGCAGAGGTTGTGGTGAGCCAGGATCGCGCCATTGCACTTCAGCCTGGGTAACAAGAGCGAAACTCCGTCTCAAAAAAAAAAAAGAATTATCAACTCTAGTTGATAACAGGGGATTGGAGTAATGAGGAAGGCTAATAAGGGAGAACTCTAAAGCACGTAGGAAGAGCAGATGTTAGGAGCAGCTGTTACTCCTAGAGTTAGGGTGCATAAGGAAGAGCCCAGGCCGGATGCAGTGGCTCATGCCTATAATGCCAGCACTTTGGAAGGTTGAGGCGGGAGGATCATGAGGTCAGGAGTTTGAGACCAGCCTGACCAACATGGTGAAACCCCATCTCTACTGAAAATACAAAATCAGCCGGGCGTGGTGGTGCATGCCTGTAATCCCAGCTACTCAAGAAGGTGAGGCAGGAGAATCGCTTGAACCTGGGAGGCAGATACTGTGGTGAGCCATTGGGCTCCAGCCTGGGCAACAAAAGCAAAACTCTATCTCAAAAAAAAAAGAAAAAAAGGGAGATCCCTAGCCACCAAGTCTGAGATCCAGAAATTCTTGAAAAGGGCATGGCTTGGCTCAGTGTGGTGGCTCACACCTGTAATCCCAGCACTGGGGAGGCTGAGATGGGTGGATCACTTGAAGTCAGGAGTTCAAGACCAGCCTGGCCAACATTATTAAACCTCATCTCTACTAAAAATACAAAAATTAGCCAGGTGTGGTGGTGTGTGCCTATAGTCCCAGCTACTGGGGAGGCTGAGGCAGGAGAATCGCTTGAACCTGGGAAGTGGAGGTTTCAGTGAGCTGAGATGCAAGTCAGGGCACTCCAGCCTGCGTAACAGAGTGAGACTCTGTCTCAAAAAAAAAAAAAAAAAAAAAAAAAGAAAGAAAGGGCATGGCTGTGGCTCACTGAATGACACAGAAGTTGCTCTGATTCCATGCTGGTGGAATGTGCCAGAAATCTGCCTTCCAGAACTTACAGGAAATCTACCCTCTAGAGTGCCTGGGAAAGCTGTGTATTGGAGGTGGCTCACAGGAGGCATTCCCTGAAACAGCCTGAAGCTGCTGACCACAGGGTGCTAGTAGCTGCTAGGGACTGCTGGAGATGAGTCCTGAAGTCATGTTCTGGGACCCACCAGAACAAGGAAGTAATGGTTCCTCCTGAAATGTTCCTCTAGTGTCCTCTACTGACAAACATTGCACCAGCTGGCAAAGGAAAAATATTTAAAGAATTCAGAATCCTCACAGAGCTTGCAGAACGGATTAATTTAGAGCTTCAAGGTTCTTCCTGGTTGTCCAACAGCAGGAAAATTCACTTGTCTGCTCTGCAGGAAGCTGTGGGTAGATCTAAAGTACCATTTTATTCACTTGGACACAAGTCATAGGGAAATGTTGGTGTTCCCACCTCCAAGGCCTGACCACCACCCAGAAGGCCTGCCTAATGAGTCTTGTTTCCAACCTTCCCATTCTCTTCCAAGTATTTGGTTTTCTTAGGTGGAATTGTATCACAATGGAAAAGTATGAGCAATAAAAGGGCAGAGGGTATCCAAGATATGAGAAGAAGGGAAGCAGGAGAGGGCACAAAGGGGCAGAATTAGTGAGACGTTATGTGGGAAAATTCAGAGACCATGATCCTCCCATATTCCAACAGCCTCCTATGCCTCTCCACAAGCAACGCCCACTTTCTGCAGACTGCCTCAGAGAGCCAGTCAGGTTTCCGTCTTCCCCACAATAGTGCAGCATAGGGGATTTATAGCTATTTATAGGGGACTTATATAAGTGTGTGTATATATATATATATTTTAGACAGTCTGTCATCCAGGCTAGAGTGCAGTGGCACCATCTCAGCTCACTGCAACCTCTGCCTCCCATGTTCAAGCAATTCTCCTGCCTTAGCCTCCTGAGTAGCTGAAACTATAGAGGCACACCACCACACCTGGCTAATTTTTGTATTTGTATTATTTATTTATTTATTTGTTGAGACGGAGTCTTGCTCTGTTGCCAGGCTGGAGTGTAGTGGCGTTATCTTGGCTTACTGCAACCTCCACCTCCAGGGTTCAAGCGATTCTCCTGCCTCGTCTCCCAAGTAGCTAGAACTACAGGCTTGTGCAACCACACCCAGCTAATTTTTGCATTTGTAGTAGAGATGGGGTTTCACCATGTTGGCCAGGATCGTCTTGATCTCTTGGCCTCATGATCTGCTCGCTTCAGCCTCCCAAAGAATTGGGATTACAGACGTGGGCCACTGTGCCTGGCCAGATTTTTGCATTTTTAGCAGAGATGCGGTTTCACCATGTTGGCTAGGCTGGTTGCAAACTCCTAACCTCAAGTAATCTGCCTTGGCCTCCCAAAATGCTGGGATTATGAGTGTGAGGGACCATGCCCAACTGATAGAGGACTTATATTTTACAGGCATTTTTACTTCTGAACTCTTGCTTAATGCTTATAGATGAGCAGACATGGTCCGTGGGATATTATCCTCTAATTTGGGCTTCAGCTCTCCACTATCTCTCTAAACATCTCACTTTCTTTTTTTTTTTTTTTGAGATGGAGTTTTGCTCATTACCCAGGCTGGAGTGCAATGGCGAGATCTCGGCTCACCGCAACCTCTGCCTCCTGGGTTCAGGCAATTTTTCTGCCTCAGCCTCCTGAGTAGCTGGGATTACAGGCACGCACCACCATGCCTAGCTAATTTTTTTGTATTTTTAGTAGAGACGGAGTTTCACCATGTTAACCAGGATGGTCTCGATCTCTTGACCTTGTGATCCACCAGCCTTGGCCTCCCAAAGTGCTGGGATTACAGGCGTGAGCCACCGCACCCAGCCTAAACATCTCACTTTCTACTGCCGTGTGTGTGTGTGTGATGGAGTCTAGCTCTGTCACCCAGGCTGGAGTGCACTGGTGCAATCTCAGCTCACTGTGACCTCCACCTGTTGGGTTCAAGTGATTCTCTTACCTTGGCCTCCTGCATAGCTGGAATTACAGGCGCCCGTCACTATGCCCAGCTTAATTTTTGTATTTTTAGTAGAGATAGGGTTTCAACATGTTGGCCAGGCTGGTCTCGAACTCCTGGCCTCAAGTGATTCTCCTGCTTTGACCTCCCAAAGTGCTGAGATTACAAGAGTGAGCTACTGTGCCCAGCTTTTCTTTTTTTTTTTTTGAGACAGAGTCTCACTGTGTCACCCAGGCTAGACTGCAGTGATGTGATCACAGCTCACTGTAACCTTGACCTCTTGGGCTCTGGTGATTCTCCCACCTCAGCCTCTTAAGTAGCTGGGACCACAGGCACATGCCACCACACCCAGTTAATACATATATATATAATATGTTGTATTTTTTTGTAGAGATAGGGTTTCACCATATTGGCCAGGCTGGTCTCAAATTCCTGGACTCAAGTGATTCTCCCACCTTGGCCTCCCAAAGTGGTAGGATTACAGGTGTGAGCCACTGTGCCTGGCCACTACTGGTTAGTAGTAGCTAGGAAAAAACAACTCACTTTCTCTGTCTTCAACTCAGGAATCACCTAGGTCAGAACTTCTACCCAGGCCACTTCCAGTCTGTCTCCCTGCTCCCTCCCATATCCCCACTAGGAAAAACTTCCTATTACTCACGTCCTGTACCTCTCCAGTTTTATGGGCTGCATGGGACCAAGTGCCCCTGTGCTCCCCCAATAATCTTAGTCTACTGACTTCCTCCCCACTCACCCATGGCAGGGCTAATGTCCCCCAAAAGTCAGAGCTGAGCTGGGGCCACCTGCTGCTGTAACCTCAGCTCATGCACAGTAGCCATGGGGAGCGACATCCCTAGGTCTGACTTTTGGGCGACATTAGTCTGTTACAGGCTGACTGGCACAGGCACACACTTGGCAGGAGACTGGTCCAGGATACCCTGCCAACCCATCTGTGACCACACTGCCAACCCTCATCCGTGCCAGAATCCTGGAGCAGCTTGTTTTCTTGGGGTGATGAGTTGGGTGCTTTTGGGATTTCAGTGCCTGCAAGCTTTTCTGTTCTAGACTTTAGGTCTCTTCTTGTTTCTTGGAAGCTCTGGCTCTTTCCTCCTCTCAGACCCTCTCTTCTGACTCTGCTCTCCCCATGCTTAGGTTGAACTGCCCTTCTCCTTTCTGGCTACCTCAGGGTGGGTCTGGGGTAGGCTCATAATATGGAAGCTCATATACTCTCTCAGGCAGCACACACAGTGCCCTCTGCTTGGAGGCCACCTGCGCCTGCACCGTCTGTAGAGCCCGGCTGGGGCTTAGAAGACCTTCCTTAACTTTGCACAGTGGCAGTATCGTAGCCCAATTATCTGAGGCACGATTATTGCTAATTAAAAAGTTTTCCCAATACCCTGCCATGACAACTTGAAATATAGTTGGCATTGGCAATTTTTGACAGTCTCTATGGAGACTGAATTATTATTATTTTTTTTAAAAAATGCCTTTCTTGTGGGAGAGAGGGTTCACAGAATGGCATCTGGTAATGCCTTTAACTGGGGGAGGAAGGCCTGAGAGTCAGACTTCTTTGGGCCTCTGTGAGCTCTAAAGGATAGAGATGAGGATAATCCTGGTTCATCCTGCTTTCTGAGGCCAGACCTCTGGGGAGCCTTATGATGCTTTAGCAGAGGAACTGGAGGGGCAGCAGCAGAGGTAGGAGCTGGAGGGGTTAGAGCAGGCAGTCAGGTCTGTGGTTCTAGCTATTATCTTAACTGGTACTCCTGGAGAGCTGCCATCCCCCCCACATCCCCCATGGGTGAATTCTCTGGCCAGACCCCAGGACTCCTGCTTATCACAAAGAGGTCAGAGGCTGAGGGTGAGGTCCTGGTCTTGGCAGTGCTGAAGAAAGCATTAGGGGCCTTTCTTCCATCTTTCCCATCTACCTTTCCTCTAAATCCTTTCTCTTCTCTGTTCTCTGAGCTGGCTTTCCTCTTGAAATTAAACTCCTTGAGAATATGTGCTTTGAATTAAAATCCAAAAGGGAAAGCTTTAGGACTTTCTGAGGGAATCCCTTTCCCCATCTCCACATGGATGTGTTTAAATCTTGAGCTGATAATCACCTTACCCTAAAGGCTAAAGAAATTAAGCCAAGCCTAAATGAAGCATTGAGTGAATCCTTTAAAGAGACCTCATGGGGATCTTAGCTGTCCCAGGCTGCCCACACGTTGAGTCCCATGACTGGGGGCTGCTGCCATCATTGTGGGTCCCAAAGCTGTCCAGGGCCTCAGTCTCCACTTTCAGGAGATATCCTGCCCTGCTTCATGATGCTCCCCTCTCCTTCCTTCCTTGCCCCTGGAACAGGTGGTCAGCCAGAGTTCCCAGCACACCTGACTGGGTCACTAGCCAGGGTATGATGCAGGTGAGAGAGCCCACCCAGGCATAAGTGAGAGCCTCTACCCTAACCCCTGCTGGGTCCGTGGAGCTATTTATTCATAGTAGCAGGACCTTTTTTTTTTTTGAGACAGAGTTTAATTGGCGTCCAGGCTGGAGTGCAATGGGGTGATATCGGCTCACCGCAATCGCCACCTCCCGGGTTCAAGAGTTTCACCTGCCTTAGCTTCCTAAGTAGCTGGCGTTACAGGCATGCTCCACTACGCCCAGCTAATTTTGTATTTTTAGTAGAGACAGGGTTTCTCCATGTTGGTCGGGCTGGTCTCAAACTCCCGACCTCAGGTGATCGGCCCACCTATGCCTCCCAAAGTGTTGGGATAACAGGCATGAGCCACCGCGTGCCTGGCCTAAGGCCCAACTCCTCTACTGACATATCCAGGTAATAACTGGGAGAACAAGTCTGGACAGTGATTTCTAGTAAGAGACTGGAGGGGTGGTGTCTGGGGATGGTCTGAGGTCAGAAGCCACAAGATCCACCTCCACTGTGGCAGTCCTGTCTGTACAAGTGTTTGGGATGAAGGGAGGACGAGCATGTCAGTACTTGAGGTCACTAGAGCCCAAGGAAATGGAGTCTTGGACAACCTCGCCCTTCGCATATTCCCTAAACAATCAGGGAGGACTGGGCTGCAGTGGGAAGGACAGCCCATTGGAAGAGGGGGTACAGGAGCCAGGACCTCTCCCCAGGTCCTAACCCCTCGGGGTCCCTTACCTCCTTTCCAGGCCTGCTCACCTTGCTGGGTGTTATTAGCTGAAATTGCCTGACGGGCACCAGGGAGCCTGGAGGATTGGAAGAAAGTGCAGCCGTTGAGGGCTTATGAGGACTGAAGGCCATGGTGAGTAGCTGGGACCTTATGCCTCTCACCAGTATTACGCAGATCACATCGTCCTATGCTGCTTAAACTCCTTGTCTCTCCACTAATGAAAGTATAAAGTCCAAGCTCTCTAGCAATGCATCTTGTCAGCTGTGGTCTTCCATGCTACCTCAGATGTTCTTTCAGCAGTCTCCCTTTACACTTGGTTCCCTCTGCATGGCATATTCCCGTCTCTAAACTTTCCCTTACAAGATCCAGCTCATCAGCCTCTTTCCTGTGCTCCCAACATGACCCTTATGAAGGACACCTTCTGTTGGTATGGCAAGCCCTCAGCACGTGGCCGCTCAATGAATGAAAGGCCGACTCAGCGGCCAGGTTTACTCACCCTGTCCCACACTACATGTGACTGAAGATGACAAGGACAGGGGTCTCAGGAGAACCTGGGAACTGCAGTGAGCAGGTGGGGCTGACTTCTTGCATGAGGCAGGAGAGATGCAGACGAGGCAGAAAAGAAGCCTAGGCTATGACGGTAACCTCCTTTATAGAGAACTCTTGAGCATCAGTCTGCTCTGGGAAGGGAGACCAGCACTTTGTACTTATTGAGGTTTCAGGAAGAGTAAAATCCCTGTGCTTTAGTATTGGAAAAGACTGAGGGAACAAAACTGGGGTTCAGCTCTGAGGTCACTGTAGCCCTCTGCTAGACCCCCACTGACTTGCTCCCTTGGGACCTTCAGATACCCCACATCAGAGTCGGACTTCAAGTTTAGATTGTCCTGACAAAATTTCCTTCCCAGCCCCGACTAAGTACAAAGTCCTAGCAGTTTAGGGTGAAAGGCAGCCCAGTGACAACTGGCTTGGCACTACCAGGTCCTTCTCTGTTAAACACCACAAGGAAATATATGCCAGGATCCAAGGGCCCAGAATGTTGCCCAAGATGATCTTGCTTTTTTGTGGGCATATTATTTCTGCAGGGCTCAGAGGAAGTCAAATTCTTCACTTTCTGCTAAAGCCACAGTCTCTCCAGAATTTTAACACAAGCAGGAAGAGATTCTCTCAACCACACAAGGGGTATATAAAGATATCATTAAAGCGGCAAGGCACAGTGGCTCACACTTGTAATCCCAGCACTTTGGGAGGCCGAGGTGGGTGGATCATGAGGTTGAGAGACGGAGACCATCCTGGCCAACATGGTGAAACCGTCTCTACTAAAAATACAAAAATTAGCTGGGTGTGCTGGCGTGTGCCTGTAATCCAGGCTAATTGGGAGGCTGAGGGAGAATTGCTTGAACCCAGAGGCAGAGGTTGCAGTGAGCCAAGATCACACCATTGTACTGTAGCCTGGCGACAAAGCAAGACTCCGTCTCAAAAGACATCATTAAAGTAGCCACAGCATTTTGAGGCGCTCCAAATAAAGAGTACTGGGTGGATTTGAGCAAACAATTTGTTATAATGAACCAGAAATACAAGATTCCACTGAAACTGGAACAGTTACAATTGGTTGAACTTAAACTTTCAAGGGAAATAAGGGTGAAATAAAGCTAGTGAGTGGAAAAGTCCCGAGATTGGTTTGGGATAAAATGAGGATAATTACATTTTGGCATGGATATTTTCTGACCTCTTCCAGCACTTCATCCGCCATCATTCTCCATTCTGACACACCTACCAAATCAAATGGCTTTTTCCTCTGTATTATTTATAGGTATAAACCAACCCTATAGTACCCTCCTGGATACAAAGCCAAGAGAAAGTGTGTAAATCTCACAGAATGGTAGAAATCTAGTACAACTCAACCCAGCATGCTGGTTATACATGTGTCAATGTACATGGTAGCAACTTTGACCAAATCAGAGCTGCTATCACATGTAAGCAACCTCTTATGCTGCCCTGTAGTGATGTCAATGTGCTCATTTACTAAATTATCAATGTGGAAGAATGCATCTTTGAGCTCCAGACTTTCTTAACATTTTAAAGAGGCTATTGAAGAGGATGTGACAGAACCCTACCTCAGAAATCTAAGCATCAGGGAGGAACACTTTTTTTTCTGGGACCTTTCTGTGGGGGCAACAGAGATCAACAAAAGAAATGTTAGCATGTCAGAGCATCTGACAAGTGAGGGAAGGCAGAGGTAGGAAGAGGGTGTTCTAGCCACAAGGCTAATGCATTTGTGTTCAAAGAGAAGTCTGGGTACAGGAGGGGAAAATACCCCACCCCCGAAAAAGAAAACAAAAACAAAAAACCAAATCAAAGGACAAAAGGGCTTCATACAATACAGTATCAAAAAGTAAAAGGAACACACTAAATGCACAAGCTGGTGGCAAGTAAGTCCATAGCCTATTGTAATAGGTCCATCCAGCATCAATCAGATTTCTTCTCATCTGTTATCTCAAGGCTATTTACAGACGTGTGGACTAACAAGAGTCTCTCATGGCAGGGTGGGCAGGCTTCAATCATTGGTTTCGGGATCTGTCTGCGCCATGTAGGCATCCAACTCAGCATCCAGGTGTCCTTTTGTTTTCGACATGTATGCATCCAATTGGTTGTCCAGCTGCTCCTTGGTCAATACAGGGCGAGCAAGGGCACCTCTCCCTCGTCCACGGCCTCGGCCTCGGCCTCCAAAGCCCCCTCTTCCCCGACCTATCATACCCCGACCTGGCCCAAAGGAGAAAAAAAAAAAAAAAAAAGAGAGACAGTTACAAATAAGTTTAATAGGTGCTATAGTAAATGCCCCTTAGAGTTGCAGGGCCTAGCTGAGAAAAGCTGAAGGGCAGGGAAAGAGGAGAAATGTGGAAAACAGGAAAGACACTGGGTAGAAAGCCACACATGGAAAGCACACATAATGAATCCCTTGTCACAGGATCATCTCTAAATGCTATTTGAACAATTATTATTCTATCAAAAAAGGAAAGTAATTAACTGACAACTATAGTTAAAAAAGAAAACCTTAACTGAACCTAAGATTTGAGATTCACTAAGTTTATAATTAAAATACATAACCTTGTTTAGTAAGATAGGCAGGTGGTAACAAGGGTACAGATAATCAGGGTGTAAAGTAAGATGGTTTTCAAATTAAGTTTATCAGAAACCCTTCTGGAACGTTATCTCATCTTTCTTTAAACTTATCAAGTCTAATAAGCTAGTTGACCTCATGTGTCAGGAGACTGGAGTTTTTCTCACAGAGGAACAATGGAAGGGACTTGAAAAAATATTTTGC